GCGACCCTCCCCGCGGCTGTGTGCGTGCGCGGACCAGTGCGATGCACCACTGTGCGACCCTCCCCGCGGCTGTGCGCGTGCGCGGACCAGTGCGACGCACCACTGTGCGACCCTCCCCGCGGTGAGGTGACCCCACCGACGAAGCTGAGACTCGCTGGGGCCACATGGCTCGTGTCCACCCTGCTGAGATTCTGTCCCAGCTGTGACCTGCCGCCCACCCAGTCCACCCCACACAGCCCATGCCTGACCCATCCCACGGCCGCAGGCCCCAAAACCAGAGTGCTGTGGACTAGGGGGTGCTGGAGCCTTTCAGGCGCCCCGAGACAGACGGCATGGGGGCAACATGCCTCCCCGGTGCCCAGGGGCACAGCCTCTTTGTAAAGTGTGTTCTCAGTCACTTTTAAATATCAGAACTGAAGAAGTGACACGGTGTAGCATGAGCAGATAGCATTCAAAGGGAAAAACTGGGAAACGAATTTGAGAAGTTCAGGGTCAACGAATGCTTTGTAAGAGCAGCGTCCTGCTTCCCCGGCAGTGCCCCTCGGAGGCGCTGTCCCCCAGCAGGGAGGAGGGCAGAGCCATCTCTGGTCGGGGCTCTTGGTGGTGTGACCTGGGACAACCTTGGGGGTGTCGGGTAGGGGTATGGGGTCTCTGGCCCTCCTCCCAGAGCTGGCTGGGGAGCTCCCCCTCCTTGTGGGTGCCTCCTAGTGACGGCGCCTTTGAAGTCCCTGGCGGGTGACACGGGGTGTGTCCCCAGGGAGACTCCTGCTGCTGTTCGCAGGCAGGCCCCACCAAGCCCTGGAGCCGCTGTGGGGTGGATGTTGAGGCACAGCCACCCGTATCTAGTAATATCTACCATGGTGCAGGACACAGAGGGTCCATTCATGGAGTGAACCGCGGACTGCCTGAGGATGAGGCGGTTAGGAGAGGCAGGAGTCCCCTCGGGGCTCTGTCACCCCCTGTGGGAGCCCAAAGCCTTGCTTGAGGCTCAGAGCCTCTGCCCGGTAGCTTGGTGCTCAGTGAAGGCTCAGGGACCCGGCTTCTCTCCAGCACATCTCTCCCTGCCTGGGGAGCAGAGGAGAGGAGGGGGACGGGACTGGGGTGACAGCATCTCAGAGAGAAGATGCAGCCAGGTGGGGCTGGTGGGATTGCCCGCCACCCTCAGATGTCAGGCCCAGGCCCACGGTCCTGTGGATCCTCATGCAAAGTAATTAAAAACTAAACCTGTTCCTGAAAAGAACTTAGGTGATTTTTGAGAATCCACAATTGTAGACTCATCTCAGACTGTGGCTTTCCGTATGGGGCCCTGCATCTCACCTGAAAGGGAAGAGCTTGTCCGCTCACCTGACCGTCTGCAGCACTCCCAGGGTGTCCTCTGAAAGCGTGTTGGTGATGTGCGCTTGTGCACAACCTTAAGAGCTGGCGCCTTTGGGAGGTCTCTGTCCTCTCGCTTGGGCAGGAGGGCCTGAGGCTGTGGGTTCCAACTCCTCTCTCTCTCTGTGTGGTGCTTTCCCCCAAGCGGCCGCTGGGGGGATTGATTCCCCCCTGATTCCCCCCTCTCAGACTAACAGCCGAGCACTGTGAGCCAATACGTTTCTGTCCTTCCAAATCACCTGGTCTCAGGTGTTCTCTTACAGCAGCAGAAGCAGACCACACAGCACATCTATCTAGTGCCAGATACCTAGATACTTGCTTTTATTTTGCCTGTTTTCCTCTGTGTTTGTCCTTGTAAGGTGATGGGTTCTGAGGAGAGATGAACCTGGGCCTGCTTACCAGCTGCTTTGGTTCTGAGATGTCGGTCTGTGTCAGTCAGCTTCCAGTCCTGTGCAAAGTCCCTGACACGATCACCTTAATAAGTGAGTTTATTTGGCTCCTGGCTTCAGAGCTTCAGTCCGTGGTGGTTTGGCCCCACTGCTCTGGTAGCAGAATGTGTCATGACCCAATGGAACACAGTGGAGGAGGCGGGATCACAGCATGGTGGCGGCAAAGCAGAGACAGGAAGGGGCGGGTCCAGGGCCACGCTCGCCAGTGACCTCACTTCCTCCTGCCCGGCCCCACCTCTTAAGGGCTCCTTGTAGTGCCACAGGCTGAGGTCCAAGCCTTCAGTACACAGGCCTCTGCAGGACATTCCAGATCCAATCTGCAGCACCCCAAGGTTCGTGCACTGAAAACCTAGCCCCCAAGTTCATGTTAAACAGTACTCAGAGGTATGGTTAGGGTTAGGTGGGGCCTTGGGTGCTCCTCTGTCCTGGCTTTCTAAGAAGAGGAAAGGCAGCCCAGGGGGTGCCTCCACCATGTCCCTGGGCGCTCTGCGGTGTCCCTGCAGCAGGAGGCCCTAGCCGATGCCAGGCTCCCAGCAGCACAGGCCAGCCACCAAGAAAGCCTGCTCCTTGCCAAGGGCCTGCTCTGCTGGCTCCTGACAGCGGCCGGAAGCAGGCCAGACCCTGGCTGGGTGCACTCTGGGGCTGCTGCCTGTCTGGTGGCTCCAGAGCTGCGCTCACAGGGCAGGGTGTGGTGAAGGAGGCACCGTGTGGAGTGCACAGCAGCGACTGCTCCTGTCGCCTGTCTCTGACGCAGGGACACTGTGCTGTGCACCCTGGGAACACCTGGGGCCCTCCCGGCCACGCCTTTGGTGCCAGGCCCCAGTGCCCTGGTGCTCAGGCAGCGGGTGACGCACAGGCTCTGGGCACGTGGAGGATTCATTGGTTTGGTCTGCAATCAGGCTGGGCCCCTGCGGCTGATAAGGCAGCCTGGCTGGCAGGCCTCATTCTTCACCAGGCCATCTGCATCCAGTCAGGGGAGCTTGTCTTTTGGGATGGCTCCTCCTTGCCCGCATAGGCCGCACGACCTCCCTGGGGTGCACCAGGCCCGGCTCCTGCTGCCGGCTCAGGGCGGGCGTGAGCACAGCCGTGTCACCCTGATGCCCATGGAAGTGGCCGCGCTGTTTATGCGGCTGACGCCCTGTCACTTTCTATCAGCCTGTGTTGCTGCCGGCTTAGCTCCGTGTTGCCGTCTGTAAATCTTCAGAGCAGGGCTTTTATTTCCTGAGTTTGCCCTTGCCGTTATCAGCTCTTATCACCTGTTTATTCGGA